CGGCGTCGGTTGCGCGGTCACGGGTGAGACGAACGGTTTTAATTGGGGAGATGAGTTCGGAGAGGCGGGAGAGGGAGTAGGTGAGGGCAGTGATGGGGCGGCGGAGGGAGAAGGAGAGGAAGACTGGGTCGAGGAGAGTGCGGTGGGAGAGGACGAAGAGTACGCCGGTGGAGGAGGTGGAGGGAGGAGGAGGAGGTGTGCCTTGGATGATTATGCGCACGCCGAGGGAACGAAGGGCGGGGAGAGAGAGGTGGACGGGGAGGAGACTGCCGGCGGCAATGCGGAGAATGGAGAGGAAGAAGGCAAAGGGGAGGTAGAGGATGGTGAGGAGGGAGAGGAGAGGGGTTGGCTTTTGGACAAGGCGGCCGTCATGGAAGATGATGGGTTTGGGGAGGTGAGCTGAGCTCACTGCAGGGAGTTCTGGGTTGTGTAGCACCATGTAGGATTCCTGTTTCGTTAATAATGACCATTAGTAAATTCATAAGCATATAATTAAGATTTTAGCACAGATTTAGTATTGGTTAAAAAAAAATGGTTTAAAATGGTCCTAATGGTCTTCAACTTCTTTTTTTCTAATGAATTTTATAATATTTTTAAGAGATAAATGAAGACATTTGGGAAAAGTGCAACTATTTGTTATTTGAACTATTATTGTAATGCTAACCTTGCAGAGATTCATGAAAGCGCCATCCGAATTCCGATGACTGATCCCAATTGTCTGCGGCAACAATTCACCACCAAACACCCTTTTCAACGCTTCAGCCTTCCTCTCTCCGACGAGCACTCCACTGTCACGCACCAACCCTGTAACCCTTCCTCTATAGACCCCAAGCTCCGTCCCCACCACCTCGTCAACCCCCAAATACTCTTTCAAAAACGGCCCCACCATCACCGCCGGACTCTCCGTCACCACGCACCGCAGACCGCACGCCGACAACACCCGCCATGTCTCCGGATGCAAAACCTCCACATAGAACTTGGGCAGAACGGCACGTGCTACAGACTCGATGGTTGATAATTTTGCTCCGGCGAGCGAAGCAAAGATGAGAACTTTGATGCCGGCGGATTCGGAGACGAAGTGGTGGAGGAAAAGGGAGAGAGGGTAGAGGAGGAGGAGGAAAAGAAGACGAAGAGGGCCGCCGGCCTCAAATGCGGCGAGGGCGAAGTAAGGGAAGGAGGAGGCTGAGCGGAGGAGAGTTCCGTTGAGGTCGGAGATGACGGTGTGAGTACTGCGGTTGTGGTAGGAGCAGGCTTGGATGGAAGGGGAGGAGGAAGACATGGTTTTGGCCATGCAATCTTTCTCTTCTCTCTCTCCCTCTCCCTGTCTTGAGGATGGTGATGACTGATTCTGCTGCGAATTGGGTAGGATTACTGTGAGGGTTTATATAGATTTGAAGGGAGGAGAAGAGGGATGATTTGGAATTTGCAGGCTAATTAATGAAGTAAATTTCCAACACCGCGGGAATTCCACGTACCGTTCTTTTGCTTGCCAGCTTATTTTAATGGAGGAATATTGGTTAATTTGTGTTTTTGAGTTTTCATACGTACGACTCCATTCCTTTAAGTTTCTGCGGGAATGAGTTCAGGTGCATTTTCATACATACCACTCCATTCTTATATATTTATACAAAATTTGATTTTACATTTATGCCCGCCATATCATTCATATCACATCAATCATCATTTTAATTTTTAAAAGCTAATAATAGGTGGCATGCAAGTAAAACTGTAGTTTAATTGTTAGATATGTAAATACATATAAATTGATTGGCATGTTCATAAATCTTCATAATTAAAAATACCATCATTTTATTATCATTATATTATTGTTTCGTTAAAAAATTTTAATTTTGCATGCTTCCAATATATGTATGTATCAATTTTCCTTGGATATTTTAGTGAAGCAAAATAGGAAATACAAATATGAAAAATAAATATAGTTAATTCAAAGGTATAAGATTATTTAATAAGTATATATAAATACTTGATTATTATTGATGCGTGCTAGAAAATTCACGGCGGTAGAGTAACAAATTATCGTCTTAGCGTTGTACAAAAGTTCAGCACTCTAACAGATGAAATAGAAAAAAACGGTGATGACTCCGAGAATTTTTACGTGGAAACCCTATTAAGGAAAAACCAAGGGGTCTGGCCCAGAAGCAGAAATCTATTATTGATTAATGATTATAGAAATTCGTTATCTCACAGACGGGAAAGGGTAACTATATTTCTCAGATTATAATGTCGACTGACGGCGTCTGGTTGGTGGGGATTGATGATGGCAGGTGGTGGTCTGGCAGGTGGTGGTCGACGATGGTCGGCGGTGGTCGACGATGGTCGGTGGTGGTCGACCGTAGTGGTCGACGATGGTCGGTAGTGGTCGACGATAATAGATTGTGGTCGTCTGAGGTCGGTGGTAATCGTTGGCGATTGACGCGGTCGACGACAGAGGTTGGTTGTGGTCAGCGGTGGTGTTGAGCTGCAACTTCTCCTCAAAACATCGGGCTCTCTCTAGACTTCCTCTCCCCTCATGAGAGGGATGAAGCTCTATTTATAGTGTTTTGTTCTTGATGCAATTAATGCAGGAATATGAATCATTTTGATTGGACGGTCCGGCCTCAATTATACAGTTTTTAATGGACATTTGAGTGCCTTAATGATGTCAGAACTCGATTATACAGCTTTTAATGGACATTTGAGTGTCTTAAAGATGTCAGAATTGAGTGATCTTGGGTTCGTTGGATTCGTCTTGTCCGAGTCACTCGATTTAAGTATAAACTTGTCATATTTGACAGCTGTTTGACTTTTCAAATGTATTCATAAATCTTCTAACTGTGGTTTAATGACTTGAACTGGGCTTGATTAAACTTGCATTGGGCTAGTTTTCATATCATTAGGTCCGTTTCATCGAACCGGTCAGAACCGGTCAGTTTGACTATAAAAATTTGTTGAAATCAGAGCTTTGGATGACTTTTTATTAAGATTTGAATATTTCTTACTTAAAATATCATCTCGAGATACGTGTCATACCTCAATATTCGTGTTTGATGATAAAATTTTGTTAGTGGTGTATCAATTATTATTTTTTGTTCATGTGCTATAAATTATATCCTAATGCTTTTCTAATTTAAATTAAACTTTTAAATTTTAAAATAAACATCTTAGGCTTCATTTGAGAATAACCTCTTTTGTGTCTGGCGAACGAGCGTTTCTAAATTTATACTGAAGTTCTTTCGCAAGAACGGTGATTTTTTCATCATGGAAGATTGAATTGCACGTTCTTCATTCCACCAGCTTGACTTTCAAAGGAATTTCACCGAACAAAGCTTTAGTAATTATAGCCATTATAAATTTTATTCTACAATACATGCATGCATACGTACTCAAAACTATAGTCCAAGAGAAAGCTTGGGTCCATCCTCATCCATCTACTGTTGACAAATGAATTTGGTCTTGACCAGGCTACATAACAAATATTTATATATCTAGACGAATATACAAGTAGCACAAAAAATATTCTTTCCCATAACTTTCCAACTGAAGTTCACATCATCGTGTCATGAAATTCCATTATAACAAGTCCGATTTACGAAAGCCATAATTCCCTTGTTGTCTAATGATAAGAAAATTAAAAGCATTCTGCAGAGCTCGCCGATCAGCATTTGTCGATTATTAAAAAGTCTCCACATAGCTGCTGGTATAATAATTGTCACCGTCCTTTTATTTATTCAGCAATGGCGCCGGCAGCCCTTTGATTATTTTGGATCCATACAAATCAGCATCCGGAAGGCTTATTGATCTAATGATTCCCAAGCATTTTCTTTTAGGGGGCATTTAGTGCATGCCACATATATTTTTTTATCTATTTTTTTATGTATCTACGTATCTAATGCTTAAATAATTTGTGATTATTTATAATGAGATAATTTTAGTTCCGGAATTTATTGAAGTGTCAAAATAGTTATCGATGATTTCAAAATAGTTATCGATGACGATGATTTACATATGGTGTACATACGGTATCTGATCTCGACCGTCCATCACAAAAAAAGATGTATGACGACGAGTCTTATTCTGAATTCTTTAAAAAAAAATCGCTGTCATAAATCGGAGATCATATATATTTTTACATATCACATGCGTATGGAATAATTTTTCCAACGGAAGAGTAATTAATATTCTGAACAATTCGTACGATATTAGGGGCCGACGTCGGTTCGCATGTACCTCGGCCGCCTAATTTGGTGGGTTGTTAAAAAGTGATCCATTTGACCTGATTCTGATTTAAATAGCGTTGACTCATACGGAAAGAATTTGTAATGCTCACTACATCGAATACGAGTCGACGGCCGGCATTATTAATTTCCATTTCGTTAATGCTCACTTGGCGAGTCGACGGCCGGCATTATTAATTTCCATTTCGTCAAAGCTTTCGAACTCTTCCAGTAAAAGGGCATGACGTTAAACATTTTAATTAATTTTTAATTTATAATTATATTATAATTTGTGGTATGTATGTAAATTTCTTAATCATTTGTAGTTGTAATACTTTAATGTCATCAATCCTTAAAAATTAAATGTGAGTTTTATGTATTATATTTATGATAAAATTCTAAGTTTATTCTTTACGATTATAATTATGCACTCTAATCATTATATTTTTGAGGGTTATTCGAGTGCATACATGTGCCTGATATATCTGTTATGGGATTTTTTTTTCGGATGTTAGAATATTGTTGATCGGTGCATCTTGTATCGATTGGCCCGCCTTAAGTCGATCGGTTCGCCTTAGGCCGATCCATCTCAGGTTAAATTGGATGGATTTCTCCGTTGTGACCGAGGGGAATGATAACCAATGAGTGGGTCATTTTGTCCATCACTCTCGTACTTGTTCGTTGGATTGCTTCGAGCTTCATGCTGACATATTTTTTTTTATACATATTTAATTCCACGATGTTCTTACTTAAAAGCCGTGCTGCAAGAAGGACAAGAGAATCTTTTCGTGATACAAAAATACAAAAACATAAATTCAATTTTGCTCGATATAATTGCTTAATAAATGGCTTCTCTAAATTTTCATGTTCAAACTGTTATATATAGACCGCAAGTGAGTTAGGGATTGTGCGTTATCCTCCCTTCTTTCTCTCTCTATGTGGTGTCACCTTTCTCTGATTCTTCTGTGGTGGCCGACGAAGGAGCACCCGGGGCTACATCCCATGATAGGGACACACTAATTAAGTCCCTTGGGGGCACGAGAGCTAAGGTTTGGAGAAAAAGGCCAACAAGAAGTATGTTGGGGAAACAAGTAAGAAAAGAGTAGTGCAAAAGAAGAATGTTATCGCTAGGAGGACCAGATAGTATCCTCTAATTCGCTTGTCGGATCACAGTAAAAGAAGCTTCAGAAATAATCCATGGCTACTCCATCTGAATGTGAATCTTTATTACTAGAATTATTAGTGGTGATATTAAGATCCAGGACAAGAAGCACAATATCATTACTAGAGCTAGGTAAAACATTTATCAAAGGTAAAATATCATTAAAAAAACAGTGTTAGAGTTTAATCAAAATTAGGTAACGTCGGTGCCACATCAAGAACTCGAACAACAGAGTTACGCTTCTATTATAGCTAAAATTATTTTATTTTTTGTTTCTACTCATACTTTTAAAGGCAGGAACAATAACCGTTGGTTTTTAGTAGAAGTTTTGGGACAATTTAAAGATTCAAGCACAAATGTTGAACAAGTTTTGCATTGATTAGACTTCCATTCATAAATCACATCTTAAATAAAATCATGCCCTTTAACATTAAGGAAAACATAATCAGGAACACCAACTTTAAGGTTAATTTGAATACTTAGTCTAGCAAATGTTAAATGAGAAGCTTGGACAGTTAAAAGATCAACAACAAAATATATTTTGCTACCAATCTCTTACCACACACCAACAATGAAGAAAAAGAGAGAGAACCCTAAATTTGCTCGAGAGGAGGACGAAGACTGTCCGAAACCTAGTGGAGCCTAAGAATCGCTCTCAAAGCACTCAGACAAGAGGAGGAAAGAGGAGGACGAAGACTGTCCAAAACCAAGTGGAGCCTAAGAATCGCTCTCAAAGCACTCAGACTCTCGCATTCGATTCCCAGTTCGTAGACGGTTGACTTCCCAAATTATTAAAAATAAATAAATAATATTGCAAGTAGTATTTAGTAAATATTGTAATGTGGGTTAAGTCTTAAAAAATATTTTGCATGATAGAAGTTAATTAAATCAAATTCTGTTAAGTTCATTTCAAACTGTTTGGCTACCTGTTTAATGAGTTAAAGATTTATATGACCAGAACATTCTTTTATGATTAATTTACTTGTACCAACCTCAATTAGAGTAATTAATTATTTCAACTAATAATTAATTAGTAATTCTTTTGAGCTAATTAATACTAATTTATATTCATATAAAATAATTAAAAAATCGAAAATATCAATGAACTTAAGATAATTAAATTTTTATTAACTAGTAGGATTAAGTTATACATAAATCGAGAGAAGTTATGTGTGTGTACACACACACATATATAATTGTTTTTATATGTACACACACATATACATATAAATCATGCATGCATGCATGCACACGTACACACACACATATATAATTTGATTTGATATTATTGTTTTTATTGATAATACTTTTAATCATTTCTAAAGTTATTAATAAATTATAATTAATGGAACAAAATAAATTCTACTTATTCCAATTAAATTATAAGATATTATTGATTTATTTTAAAAAATTATTAATTAATTAATGGTAAATTTAAGTTAAATTTTAAATTTTAATTTATATGCGTTTATTTAATTTTTTTTAATTAATATGCTTTATAAAATCCCTGCATCTCCTCTCTCTCTCTCCCTCAAGGGTGCATTTAGGACAGCGGTGCAGTGTCGCACCACAATTTTTCCTGTTTCGTAAAATTGTGTTTTGTCTTCTTTCTCAAAAGGCTATAGTTGAATGTTGTGCTTTCCCACTTGACCTTGCCACTTGCAGCTAGGGCTATCAAAAGATCTCGTTATTCGTGAACAACACGTGTTCGGGTCAGTAAGTAGCTTGCGTTTGGCTGGTTCATTAAGTAAACGATTCGAACACGAAAAAGTTTTTAAAGCTCGAATTATAAACGAGTCGAATGCGAACAACTCTTTGTTCTCTCATGTTCAGCTCGTTTTAGCTCGAAATAAATAAATAAATAAATAAATATATATATTTTTATTTATTTATTTATTTAATCTTTTAGATTTAAGGGGTTGTACGACAACAGAAGAGATTTAAGCCAGTAAGTTTTAGTAAATCCTGTAAATCTTGATTTAGTAAATCCAGAAAGGATTCATTCCTAAAAATTGTTTGGCAACATATTTAATAAATCCTGTTAAATCCTATGAAATTGTTCGGCAATTTTTGGAACCATTCAAAATTATATTATTGTCATTAGACTTTAACAAAGCATAATAGGATTTCGTAAATTATGTAAATTCAAAATCTTGAAATATTTCAAAATAATAAAAATCAGTTTGCTTCTTAAATTTAATTAATATTTTATTTGAAATTATGATAATTAATAATCAACAATTACATATTTACTAAACTAATTATATAGTAATACAAATTTTATTAAATTAATTTTTAAATAGAAGTTCAACAACGATTCTTCTGTGGTGGCC